CCCACAGATCCACACAAAATTTAAGTGGATCAAAGCGGACTTTTGCAAACTCCTGTAGAAGCACAGTGGTAGGCCCCTGTCTGCCCACCAGCCCCCATGGGACTCTAATAGTACCACTGAGTGAGAAATTCTAAACTCACATCAAAAGGGTTCAGGCAATCTCAGAAGTCTCAGCAAATACACTGGGTTTTTAATACAATTGTTAAATGATAAGGTACTTGTAACCTGCCTCACATGTAACCTGCATGTACATTACCAACTGTCTTACCTTTCCTATCTCCACCCACCCAACCGCATCCCAATTTAAATCCTACTCAGTCCAGCCACCCTATGCATCTTATGAAGTGAGCTGCAGCTGATGAAGGCTTATGCTAACATAAGTGCTAACAGTCTCCTGATTTTCTGCAATGGTAGTTTCTCAACTTACTGTAGCCTAAATGACACCAGTGCATCACAAGCTCAAATAAGCACAGTACCCAGCAAGAACTAATAAGGATTGATCCCCATCTTTGTTCTGCACATTGGGGTTAATACTGAAAAAACGACATTTGGCATGCCAGCATCATGTCTTTGGTGACTGGGTTAATGGTATGGCCACAGACACCCTGGTATCTTCCCATTACTGGAAAGGGTGGCCATCCACATATGTTTTTGCTATATTCATTCCCCTGGGTAGCTATGGCATGGGCTCCTTCGTGCCACCCAGTTTGGAGACACACTGGCATCTCTCTAGGATGTGGTGCAGCTCATGCTAAAATAGGCTGTATGTGAGGATGATTCTTGCAGGGTGGTTTTTGGACTAGCATTGTGGCCTAGTCTGACAGGACACACTGGCATCTCTCTAGGATGTGGTGCAGCTCATGCTAAAATAGGCTGTATGTGAGGATGATTCTTGCAGGGTGGTTTTTGGACTAGCATTGTGGCCTAGTCTGACAGGAGCACCTTTGATTTGGTCCTACGCTCTGTCGCTAAGAATGGAAATCCCTTCTGCCATTATCTACTCAAACTCCTTACTGTTTTGATGACTGAACATGAGCTCCCGCTATATCTTGTCTTTTCCCCAGATTTCCAGGAGAATAATGGCTTCCTCTCTCCTTCACATAATCCTTTGGGGGCACATAATGGGAATCTGCACTGCATCAGTCATAATGATGCTGGCCTCTGGGAGAAACACAGGAAAAAAGAGCAAAGTGGCAGCTGAATGGCAAGGGATGGTGGAGCTCACAGAGGGTAAAGCTGAGGTAGCAGAGAAAATGGGTTTACCAGTAGTTGCTTCTACAGATCACTGAGTAGTCAACCATGTTACCAAATCAAACAGAAGCCGCAAGATCTCTTACTCATTGACTGACTCTCAGGAGTTCTACAAGGAAATGGCAGAGCAACGTGCACTTCTGGAATCCAAGACAGTACAGTAGTAGTCATAGCAATATTGCACCTCCTTATGAAATGTCTCCAGGTTGGAGGCCCCACACAGCAGTCCCACTGCAGTTCAAAATACATGAATCAAGCATGTATGGTATACATATTCCCAAACATAGTATCACTGCTGGCCTCACAATCTGACATGAGTTGTGATTAGCAGCAGTCTGCTACTATGATTTGGCATTCTGTTTTTGGAACAATAGGATGTTGAAAATGTAGCATTCACTCATAAATGAGGAAGGCATGCTTGTCAGGCATCAGAACAGCAGCGGATGGCGAGTGCCCAAAATTAGTGAAATGGGAGGGTAAAGCATGATTGTGTCATGCTTGTGTAGTTCCCATTGTGCAGGTGACCAGTCAACCCAAAATTTCCCTATGCGCACCTAAAAAGGGAAAAAAGGAACATTTGAGAAAGGGATTCCACCGTCTTATCTTTGCACAGGCAAACACTAAATGAGCAGGTTGGAATACCAGGGGAAGGGAGGGATTTTCGAGCAAGCGGTAGAACTACAGTAATAGAAATACCCACTCCTGTGACAATCACCCCGATAACTGTCTCAATGCACATCAACATGCAGCACATTGACTATATGTAAAGTGACCATATTTTCCTGGAAAAAATAAAGGACAAACCTGAAAAGGCGGCAAATCTGAAAGAGTTTGTAAGGATAAAAAAATAATTATTTATAACTTTGCTTTACAAAGGAAATTCAAGAGCAAAACCAAGAAAAACTTTACACAAATGCATATTCTAATAAAGGACAGCTTTCTGAAATAAAGGACACATGGTCACTGTAACCACATGCTGAAATTCCCTGGCAGTAGATGTGTGTAATGGTCTAATAAATTTTCCCCATTCCCTCCTAATTTCAAGCATTCTGTCAGTGGTCTGTGTCAATGGTTGATTTAGCAGTCATCTGAAAATAAATAGTTACTTTTTTTATCAGTAAAGCAGAAAATGTGTACAAGGCAGTCAATCAAAAATTATTCCTATCTGTTTATATTTTTCTTACCCACACCATTTCAGGTTGCTACTTAATTTTCAGCTAGCATAGCTCCTTTGTCTTTTACACCTGTGCCACAGAGTGCAATTTCAGACAACGTAACATTAACTGAGGATTTGCAAATAGGGGAAAATACTATGATGGCTCATCTCTTTTTCCCCCAATAAACATTAAATTAAAAAAGCAGGTCCATCACCTACTTCTATGGGCCTCTCTACTCCCTTCTTTTATTCGGATGTGGAAGATTTCTACTGTTTTTGCTCATAAAAAATATATTTTTCTAATCACAGTACAGTAAGGATAGCATCCCCCCCTCCCAATTCCCCCTTTGCATTTTTAAAAATTGCAGATCAAAAGGAAAAATTGGCGCCTCCTTAAACGCCAAAGACAGCCCTTGAACCTTCTTTGCCCACATCAAACATGGCAGCTCAATTATTCTTATTACTACTATAGGGGAGGAGCCTGTCCTATTAACGACAAAGAGGATGACTCGCTGTGTCGCTTGTTGCCCAAAACAAACATGGTGGCTTCTCCGTCCTTTTGAATGCCAGTAGTAAACATGGAACCCCAAATTGTTTTCCGCTCCTTCCCTTCCAAATCGCAACCCTCTTCCTCGAGTCACGACACCGGAGCTCTCTTTATTGCCCCCAAAGAAAGGCGCACCTTTCCTCTGCCGTCGCGTTAATTGCCACTTCAGCTCCCCCGCCCCCGAAAAGCAGCCCGAATCAAAAATGGCGCCGCAGCAAGGCCTCCTTTCACTTGCCCACAACTAAGATGCCGGTTCTGCTCCTCCCTCTTCTTGCCCTCAGACAAGATGGGGGAGGAGCGTGGGGGTGGAGTATCCTGTTAACTTCCATCAGGGTTGGATTGGAGGGTGGAGGGACCGACTGTCGCCAGAGGTCAACGCTTCATCGCGGCGACCCTTTGACTGTTTTCTCGGGGGTGGGGGGCAGATGCTCACTTCCCTCTCCCCGCCCGTCGAAGGATCTCCCCGTCACTAAAATGTCGGCGCCGATAAGAAGTTGTGAGTACTGGAGGGGTTGGGGGGGGCTTAGCGGACAGACCCCGCG